TACATCATCAGTGGACATTCCCAACAAGCAACCATAGATTAGTATCAGCAAAATAACAATTACCAAATCTTTTCCAAATATTTTATAATGAAATTTGGGTAAATATATATAAAATGATGCACAAGACATCTAGAATATTTTAATTTGATGTAAAGGTGTAGCCATAAAAATAATATTAATATGCAACACTGTGATCAACATCATCACTGGTTTTGTAGGCTGTGTGTGAACCTTTGTGACATAGAAAGAACTGGTATATCAGTGACTCATTTCTGCACTGTGTGAAGTTAACATCTCACTCACACTGTCTAACTTTCAGCAGATGGCTAATTAATCATTTACTAAAATTAATTGCTCATTATGGCCAAAGAGCAAACATTTAGCTAACTGACACGTAAACCAATATGCAGATGGAAATGGAACTGATGACGGATTCATATACTGTACTGTAAAGTCGTGACAGGAGCAGTAACATTTGATCTTGCATAACAACTTGAATATCTTGTGTGCAAATGTTGGGGGTCCTGTGTGTGTGTGTGCGTGTGTGTGTGTGTGTGTGTGTGTGTGTGTGTGTGTGTGTGTGCGTGAGAAAAGGACAGTTGAGGGGGGAGTAAAAAATGAGAAAGCATATTGTGGGTGGCAGAGAGGATTGTATCAACTAAACCGACCAGAGCAGCACTGTAAGAGTTGCCCCACACAGTTCCTTATTCTGTCAAGACATTGGGCTGTACACACACCACCCACTGTACTATGGGCCACTAAAGCAGTTATTGTCAAGTCTAATCTTTAAATTGACCAGAATAGACCTTATAATGTTGTTATAAGAATACTAACAGCTCCATTTCACCTAAGCTACATTCAGACCACATGCTGAAGTGACTTTTCATGGACATGTGAACAAACCAAATAGGATTTTTTTCAAATTAGATCTGGACCACTTCCATATGGGGTCTTAGATCCTGATTCATATTTAATATTTGATCATGTGACCACTGCCAGAATAGCCATATCAACATTTAAGTGTTTGTCTTGTCTGCTGTCTGCCCTCATCATTCAGTGTTTGGTAAAACTAAACACAGAGGAGATCGACAACGGTGCCAAGAGTCAGTGGGAAAGTGAGGACGTTTCACATTTATGGAGAAGCTTCTGTTCAAGCCAAACTTGAAAGAACATACAGTATCATGAGCTGCTTTTGAGGAAATGGTGCAATTTGACCATCACACAAATGACATTGTTGTTTGTGTATTAATTCTATTCACATTTCAGTTAAATGTGCTCATGCGTGGGCAGTTGAGGAGCTTAGCAGTGTTTAAATTGGACCTGGATGCATGTCACTTACAACTGGACAATATGCCCCACTGGGGCACTTAAAGGGGTCTTATATGGCAGCATAAGTCAAAACACCTATGTGGGTCACTACATGTAATATGTTATAATCCCTATCATATAGTATGTCCATATACTGTACTCTATATACTAGCTATGCTACAACATTTTTGTGACTTGAAATCTATTACTATTTCAGCACATTCATTGATTTAACTCGATCCATTTTATAATCTTAAAATCTGTAAGAGGCTAAAAAGTATATGCTATGTCACCAGATAAAAGCAAAGATTAGAGTATTAAAATAAATAAATAAATAAATCTCTTGGTGCTTCAGTAGTGGATGATACCTTATGATATACTAAGATTACCTTGCAACCCCTGAACTGAGAGCCAGTGGTGTGAATAAAACATGCTGTACAATTAATATTACAATAGTCAGGTGCTTTCATATGATATTAGTTAGCAGCTTGACAGCATCACCCCACGACAGTTGTCACGACAAATTTGTCACACAGCGGGGAGCTAACATTTCTGCAGTGCATGTCATTGTTACTCACTTATCACACGTGACAACTCTGACCAGGGCATCAGCTCAGTTCACTACAGTGTGTTTCTCACATAACACCTGCAGATACATGCAGGGTGATCAGAGGTGTTTTTCTGTGTGACAGCTCCTGGTAAATAAAAGTGGCTTTCTTAACTTGAAGATACACCAGGCACCAGTCAGATGTGTGTTGTCGCTGATATCGGCTATAGCATTCCTAAAGGGACCAGTCCAGTCTTTGTGATCCTCAAGACAGTGCCCTAACTTTAACAAACTTTCTTGTCTGAATACATTTTATTTGTTTGTTTTCGACTCCGAGTTTAAAGACAGAGACAGACTTAAACAATGTTTTGCCATCTTAGGGCTAAAATCTGTCATTTTAAGTCTTTTACATTTTAAGGCTGGAGGTAGACTGGTGTTAATACAACACGAGTGATTACATTTAAAAACAACAACCTGATAAATGAATAGTCCTGCAGAAGGAGGAAACCAACTGTTTGTCAAATTGTTCATTTGTGCCAAATTAGCCATGTGTTTGTTTGTTTTTTCCTCTCGGCTGATTGAAATCTGCCAGTTTCTGTTGCCAGACTTCACCTTCCTCATGCCTGTCACACAGGAGATGCCAATAATCAGACAACAGTAGTCTACAGCGTAGCTTTCACAGTGAAGACCGCAAAGCACTGTGATGGGAAAAGTGATTTTTTTTTTTTTTTGGCCAACATTTACTTTCAGCACATACACTGGGAAATGATTTTTATCTTTACCTTACTAAAATTCCAGTTTTGTGTTTAAAGTTTTATATGTCCTACATCATTACTGTGGACTGATTTAAGATCCCAGTGAAAATTTAGGTAGAACCAAGGGGTAACATTAGCAAGCAAACATTTTTATTTACTCTTTTGTCTGAGACCCAGCGCCGTCACCTCACAGCAAGAAGGCTCGGGGTTTGAGCCCAGGCTGACCCCGGGCCTTTCTGTGTGGAGTTTGCATGTTCTCCCTGTGCCTGCGTGGGTTCTCTCTGGGTACTCTGGCTTTCTCCCACAGTCCCAAGACATGCAGCTTAAGTTGATTAGTGACTCTAAATTGCCCGTAGGAGTGAGTGTGTGTAGCTGTTTGTCTCTGTGATAGACTGGCGACCTGTCCAGGGTGTACCCCGCCTCTTGTCCAATGTCAGCTGGGATAGGCTCCAGTTTCCTCATGACCCTTTTCAGAAATAAGCAGTGTAGATAATGGATGAATGTCTGAAACCCACAAAGAAAGTGTTTGCAGGGGAGAGGGGAAACAAGCAGAGAGTCTGGTGTGTCGTGTTGCAGATAAGCAGCCAGACCAGGCTAGGTACACCTGAGCCCAAGGACCAAAAATATTCAGCAAACCAGAAGCTCACACTTGAATTTTCATAATAATATAGTGTGATGTAGTGTAAAATATTATTTGTCTTTTGCTTCATTTGTATGTATTTTACATTTCTTTGTGTGTAATTTTCACACGTCACAGAAATTTTGGGAAGATTTATGGATAATCTACACAACACATGGCACATTTCTATTTAGTTTAAATGTGCGCAGCGCTGCAGATATTCATGTCCCCTTTAAAGGAAAGAGAACAGCAGAGAAATTGAAATACATTTTTGATGAAGGTACCTGAAACTAGTGCATATTCCACTGGAAAACCTATATATAAAGAACTTTTTGCATCCAGCCAGTCAAAACAGTTTATATCTTAAAAAGCAGTAAACATGGTCCATGTACAGTAACTGTACAGTAGATCTTCCATCCCCTAGTCTCCATAACAACTAAAAATCAACCAGGACTGACTGATGGTCTGAAGAAAGATGGAGAGATGGAGGAAGTGGTGGATGATATGACAGGAGGCAGTGGAGGGAGTGACTGGAGGAAAAGATGAGAGGAAACAGGAAGAAGCAGGGTGTTGTGAACTGATGGGGATGAGGTGGAAAAGTGAAGATGGGTAAGAAATTCAAAGGGGAATACTTAGAGGTGTGAAACTCACAACGATAATTCTATTTCTGTACTTGTGTGGATGATGGTGAGTTATTTTATTTCTCTTTTTTTTCTTATTTTAATCAAATCACATGACTCTTCCAACACTGTAGACAGGACTAATTCTCATCACTCTATCACAGAAATGTAATTGGGCTTGTGCTGCTAACTGTATGAAGATCAAGTCATCGTTGAGCAAATTGCTGCACATAGGTACAGTTATTTGATTTTTAAGTGTCACCAATCATGTTTTCAGAGCTCCACCTCTTTTCTGCAGCAGCTATAGTATCGTTTACCTTAGCATTTCTTCTTTTATGTGTTGCTACCTTTATCTTTGAATTCTCTTCATGATCAAAGTGAATGTAATAAATGTAATTATTTAAAAATCACTGGTTTCTGCTGGCCAGTAGAGCTTTCACACTCCCTGTAAGGTGCAGCTATAGAGTTGTAGCAAGGTAAATCTTATAAATCTCTTAGTCTAGATATAATATGCGGTGCCCTTCTCTCTTTACTGTTTTTACCTGACTTCTCCATCCATCTGTCTTTCACTCAGTAGGCATCCAGGAACATATGAGGAAGTAGTCAAAAAGAGAAGGAGGACAGGCTAATGAGGAAAGATCACCAGACACTGCTTTTCCTTTCCTCATCAGTCTGAGGCTACAAAGGTGTATTTACAGGGTGGGGGGAACTGAAGCAAAAATAGAACTCTTGAAGGACTTTGGCTTTATGTAGCAAGATAAAAGGCCGTGTTTGAGAAATGCGAATGTCCACGCATGTGTTTGCCAGTGAGCTTCAGTATCTCTCAAGCCTAAAGGTGTCCTGCCTTCCCTTGATGGAGCTGCTTTCTTTGTTCGGCTCCTAAATAGCAGTTGTCACAGACATCCTCCCACACAGGGAAACAGCCACAAGTCCCCAAAACATTTATGTTGTTTTCTCTGTTTTTCTGCCTGTTAGAGACCCTCACATCCTCACACTCCATATTTAAACACCACAGCCGGCCTCTGACACTACTCCACACAGCATAAAACACTCATGCATCTGCAAGACACCGACAGTTCTGCTTGGTTTCTGTGTTTGTTCTGTTACTGTGGGCTTACATATGAACATCTTTAATGTTCATACGTGTGCAGGATCCTGGCTGCAGCAGGGGCACACATGAACATCTCCGTGGACCTGAGGACTCTGAGGGCGGTCCGAGTACTTCGACCCCTCAAACTGGTCTCAGGCATTCCCAGTGAGTAAGACAAATACCATATCAATAGCTTTCTATGGAAGTAGTGGCCATAGTTTGATCTTTCTTTTCAGCCAAGTTACAAAAGGTTTACTGTATGTTCTCACTTAGTAGCCCAGCTGTTGCTCCAACCTGACTCCACATAAAACACTTTAAGCAGTTTTCATCAGGACAGTTTTTTCAGTAGAAATTATCCACTGTTTTTAAAACCAAAACTATCTGCATATGCTGTATATGTGTGCTTGTGTATTCCAGGTCACTGTGGTCACTGGGATGTTGTATTTACCTACTTAACCCTCAACATAAGCCTTGTAACTAATGATTATTTTCATTATCACTTAATCTGCATATTATTTTTTGATTAACCAGATTATTGTTTAGTTTATAAGAGATGGAAAAGTGCCCTCACATCTTTTCAGAGCCAGAATGACTTATTGTGTTTGACCAGCAATCTAAGCATGTTTGATTTGTTGTCTGAGATAGCATCCATCTGAGAAGCTGCATCCTGGAAGTTGGAATTTCTGGCATTTTTTCTGTAAATCTACAAATTGCTTGATTAGGTTGATTGCTCAAGGTCTATGTAGACATTAAAGTTACTCACTGTTTTTCATATTTATTACCTGATTATTTCACAGATTTGTACAAGGCGTGTTTTTACATGAATTTTGCTGGTCACTGTGTCCTCTACCTCCAGGTCTGCAGATAGTCCTGAAGTCTATAATGAAGGCCATGGTCCCTCTCCTGCAGATCGGCCTGCTTCTATTTTTTGCAATCCTCATGTTTGCCATCATCGGCCTGGAGTTTTACAGTGGCAAACTGCACTACACTTGCACACCGCAGCCGGGAATACTTGGTACAGAAACAGCCTGTGTATATCTCTATATGACATGGGTATATGCACGATTACACACAGCACCTACAATCGTGCAGTATATGCATATTGGTTATTATATTTAGAGATGTATGTCTGTGCATAGCTGCACATATTTAATTTCATATACACACACATTCCAACCCTGTCTTCCACACAGACAGCAGGGTGAAGAGATGTGTTAATTAAACACACATGGATGCAATGAATCAGAGCTTTATGTGTGATGGTAGCCAATAGTGACATCCTGCTATTACTGTTATTCAGATATTTTATTCAGCTTAAGCCAACAACTAATTTGAATTACATTATAAAACAGGAACATCTCTGCCACATACTGATGGCATGGGTGGAACAAAGGGAGAAATTTGTAAAAAGAACCTGAAACGGTTGTGAATAATGCATAAATGAGAGCAAATAAGAGTCTCATTTTATTTAAACACTATTTTTTGATGACAAACAGAGCCACAGAACATAAAAGCAAAGAGTCAGGACTGAGCTCCATCTGTTGCTGGTTTCTGCGTGCTGTGTGTCTTATGTGTGGTGTCATGTATATGGAGCTCTTTTGATAGTACTTTCATTGACATACTCACAAATGTGCATACACATGTGTGTACCATGCTGCACCTGGAGACTAGATCAAACCAAACCGGCAGCCTTGTCCTGTATAATTAAAACCAACAATGCAGTGTGCTACAATAGTTCATTGTACATTCACAACTGTCATTAACCTCCCAGCTGTTATCGTCACATTGAGGCTGAATGAGCGGATAGCACGGAGAGTATTTTCTGTCAGATGATGGTCATGTTACTGTTCAAACACTCTGCTCTTCCATTATTTACAGAAGTATATGGGGTTTTTTTTCAGGCTTTATTTAAATCCTACTGTACAAGTGACATGGCTTTATTGAAAATTTTGCCAAAAACACATTTTCCAGGGTTAGAATTCACTATAACAGCTGAAATGTAGAGCAAAAAGGATGAGTATCAATGCTCAGATTGGTTATGCCTTTTCTACATGAGCTTAAAGATCATGCTCTCAGACTCTACTAGCTTACAGTGATTACATAATGTAATAACGTTGCATGCAGTACATGAAAAAAGCAAGCATGTCTGTTGTTGGAAACTCTGATTTAATGTATCACATAAAATCAGATGTGTGATACATTAAATGCTAGTTTAATATTTTTATATATCAATGCTATATATCAATATATACAATATATGATATATGATACAATATATGATAATACATATCAATGCTATATTTCTACATTTTTCTCCATTTTTGCACTTTTCCATTCAGAAAATCTCAATTTTTGCACTTTTCCATTTAGAAAATGAGACCATGGACTCGTCAGAGTTTGAGTTCCCATGTGGTGTGCGCCAGTGTCCACCCAAATACGGTTGTACCGACACCTGGATTGGCCCTAACGATGGCATCACCCAGTTTGACAACATTCTGTTTGCTGTTCTCACTGTCTTCCAGTGCATCACCATGGAGGGATGGACCACTGTGCTCTACAATGTAAGACAGCCCACACAAACATACATGTACCACTCAGTATTTTTAGAATGCTGCAATTTATTGAGGCGTAGCAGTGTTTTGTTACAATCTGGGCTTCATTAACTCTAATGAACAGAAGCAGCTTTACCTCCAGCACACCGATGGCTGCTGAGTGAATGGCTGTGACCCCTATATCCTCTTGTATCTCAGACTTTCAGCTTGTTGCTGGAGAACAACCCAAACTGCAGACTGCTCTGTCAATTCCATTTTTTGCATTCTGTCAATTCTTTATTCTTCCTTGTTCATGTAATACTGTATATTGAATGGATTGTACAATATACTGTATATTGTAGGTGAATCAGAATCAGCCAATAAAGCTGATTTTGATTCTGATATTGTAGGTGGTGTATAGTTTTGTCACAACTGACAGAGCAGAAATGAATTGCTCCAATACTAAGGGTGAGAAATGCTGCTGCTCTGTCGGACTGACTGGGAGAACAGAGTGACAGGTTACTGAAAACTGGACATTTTTATGCTTGAAGTCTTTTAGTCCAATACCAGAAACGTAGAGGAAATGTTCTGAAATCCCCAAAACAGGAAAACAATGTATATCATGCTGCATCTCACAGAAATGTGTTCAAATCATCAGTGTTGAAACCAGTAATAATGTCATATTCTGCTGTAGAGTAACTGTCAAACAGGGACGAGAGGGTACACCATGCTTCACAAGCATCTGTGTCAGAGTGAAAGGATCAGGCAGACACACAGAAATTATATAGACAGAAAGGCTGGTGGTGGCACCATTTGCTAATTTGATATAGCTGTTGCCTGCCTGACCATCCAACAAATCAAGTCCAGTCACATTCAGAGCAGAATTATAAGATTATGTTTGAACAGGGCCTCAATACAAAATCCTGACACTATAAGAAGCAATCAGAATATTGCAAAAATATAGCATTTTGGAATTGTTGGATATGTTTAAATTTAAAATTCATATAGTGCAGTGTTGCCACTAGAAAAAACAGATATTTGTGCATTTTAAAACTAGAATTACCATCTTGTGTTTATGCCTCCACCAAACAGCTGCTGTTTACATGCATGTCTGTTATGTAATACTGTATATGTAGTGGAGACTTTGGGGGGGGGGGCAAAATAGAACTTATTGACCGAGTCAAGGCTCCATTCTGATTTCAAATTAAATTTTTTTATTTATTTATTTTGATGTTTCAGACCGTTATTGATTCTACTGAATAATTTCCAGTGAGAAACATGCAGCTTTGGCACATTGTCCTTGAGTCCAAGTGGAGATTTGAGCTAAATTTGTATAAATTCCCTCAGGGCGTTCCTGAGAATGGGACGAAGGGACAACCCAAAAACATGCCTCCAGCCATGGCTGACACCAGAGGCATGATTTGGCACTGGTATTACCTCAAATATGACAGGAGCTTTTCAAAATACTTTACAGCCACACATTTATGAGTGTTTCAGGCTCAGACAGTGATGCTCGAAGAAATACATTTGATGCTGCTCAGTCAAATTGGATCAGACACTTTTCTAGGCCAAAACATTCTCAAAGTGTATGTAAGAATGTAAGTTCTTTGTGTACTTTAGATGGTTTTTATCAGTAGAAAAGAAAGAAGAATAAGTAAGTAGACAGGCAGAACAATTTAGTTTTCTTAATGAAAGTACTGTTACTATTATTGTGGCTAAAATTGCAGTAGTTAGGCTTCAAAATACATAAAAATGAAATTATAATCACAGAATTAAAAGGATAGACACGTGACCTGCACGCCCTGTGCAACAGGCACCTGCTGTATAACACAAAGTATTGATTTCTCTTTTTTTTTTTTGTTGTAGTTTGTTTTGTGCTTTCACCTCAGATTATCCGAGTAAATCAGCACACACTCAAACACACAAGCTGCTGTGCTGGAGTGTATTTGCAGTCAGCTGCCTGCACTTTCAGGTTTTATTAAGATGGATGAAGGTGGATGATTTCCCAGAATGACTGTATTAGGTTGTATAAAGTGATGCCGAATGAGCTTTACTGATGAACAAGGAGGGACGACATGCTGCTCCTGTGTTGCTGAAGTAGGACTGCTGACTGTACAGATGTACTGTATTAATGTTTGCTGTTTTACACAGGAGTACACACCCACGGTATATGCACACAATGTAGTAAAGGGACACCTTTCTGTGGATGTAAATTTGTTTTCAGTAAATGTGCACATAAAAAAAAGATCACATGTACTTCCTGAAGTCTGCGTGGTTTACAGTAGGG